TGTTTGTTTTGATTATTTCCTATGCTATTTTGTTTGTTTTGATTGTTTTCCATACTTGTTGGTTTGTTTTGATCAGATAATATTATTGATATTTTTGACAGGGGTTTGCTAAATTCCCTACTTTGTGTTGAATTTTTTTGTGCAATATGTAGTGGAGTGGTAGTAGTATTATAGATGGTGTCTTTTCTATCTTTGGTTTTAGACATTGTCTTTTTCTTTTTTAGTAGTGGTGGGTCATCTGGTATAGTAAGATGGGGTTTTTGTTATCAAAATGACCCTCCGACATTGATCATCTGATTTGTATAAAATCAAAATAAAGCTTATATTACACAAATTTTTGATCATCAAATTTGTCACTATTTTTAGAATATTTCGTGTAACAATATCTCGGAGGGTCAATTTGATAGCAAAAATTTTGTGATACAATAAGATCAATAAAATCAAAAAAAGAGAGAGAAAACAATGCAGCAAGGACGATGATTTTCTGTGACATAAAATTATAAAATCTGTGCATTACTATATATTACTGTGTATTATAATTTATGATTTCCATGTTAGTTATTTACTTATTCTTCAAATTATTTCAGATATCATTCAAAATTTTTAGCCCAACCATGCTCGTCTTTTAGGTTTATTTATTTTCCACTTTTCAGAAGTTATATATTTGGATTATGTACTTATAAATCTTTACTTTCTGCGACATATTCCTACTTTCTGCAACATTTTCGTAATACTTTTGACACATTCTGCGATTACTATCTGAATTCATGATTTTGCGGTATTCTATAAAATGCAGAATATCATCATCTCTGCAATGCATCTTTTTTTATATACATATACATAGTTTTAGAAGTTATTCTAATAATAGGTTTATTAAATATCCTTTCTAAATATCTACTAGTATTAATCTGTTAAATAGAGATTTTCTACACTATTATATTGGGAAATTGTCTATTTGATTCGGGTTTTTTTATAGCAAAATCATGCTTAGAGCTATATACTCAAAGCATGATTTTGCTGTGAAAGAACTTATATAGTATGTATATACTTGAATAATACTATAATTATTTGCTTATCTATTTGGCTTTAGCAAACAAAAAGTAACTTTCTAAAAAACCCTATTTGTTTTATAATTTCTTGTTAATTTTAAACTGATTTTATATATAGCCTATTATTAAACAATTAAATTTGAATAAAATCTTATTTAACAATTTTAATATCATTAAACAAAGATTTAAATTTAGATTCTAAACCAGTTTATAATTTAATAGAACTAGGTTTAGAAGAATACGAAGATAATGAATTAGTTCTTAATACTGTACATGACTTAATGCAATTTTTTAATCAATCAAATTGCAAATGTTGGTCAAAATCTAAATCAAAAGACTTAAGAACATGCTATAAAAAAGTAGGCTTTAAAAATTTTTTTGAAAGACATTTACAAATATGTGCTCTAGAAAAATCTGAACTTGATTTATTCTTAAAAACACAATTAATAGTATTTGAAATAACAAATATTAAATTAAAAGAAGCTCAAAAAGAAAAACATAATTTTAAATATGCCTATAATTCATCTTATCTACTTTGTAAACCTGCTTTTTTAAAGCTTTATAGTATAAATGAATATATTCTTTCAATATTACAAGATCATTTATATAGTAAAGGATTAGTAGAACGAATTCATGGTAATACTGGACGTGCAGCTAAAAGAGAAAGTAAAGTATTTCTTGATTCAAGTGTTACTTTTCCTGTAAAAAAATATTTAGAACAGTATGTGATTACTCATAGACTTCCATCTCCAATACATTATAAAAATGAATCAGAATCTTTTATTTACTTACCAACAGGCAAAACATATACTTCTGTTTATAATGAATTTAAAGAACATTTTTATAGTGAATATAAAGATACTAAAAACATTATATCATATTTTATATTTAAAAGGCTTTGGTACAAAATGATGGCACATCTTAAGTTTAACCACCCACAAGTGATTTATGTGAAGTTTGTAAAACTTTAAAAGCCAAATTAATTGTAGCAAAATCTAATATAGACGAATATGAAGAAATTAAAAATCAATATGAACAACATTATAAAGCTGCTAAAAAAGAAAGAAAACATTATAATAATAATATAAACGAAAGTACTAATAATTTATCTGTTGTACATGTATGTTATGATTGGGCACAAAGTTTATCAATTCCATATTTGCTACAACAAATAGGATCAATATATTTTAAAAGCCCATTTTTTATATATTTATTTGATGCGTGCAAAACTGAAGGTGGTCAAAACTTTCAATTAAATTTTATAATAGATAAAGATGAAATTCCTGAAGGTACATCAAAAGGTTCTAATACTACGCTTAATATGATATATTATTTTTTTTCAAAAATTTGTACGAACTGGAAAAAAAAATTACATATAACCTGCGATAATTGTAGTGACCAAAACAAAAATAATTTGTCCCTTTTTTTTTTTATTCTTGGTTATCAATACTAGGCTGGTATGATGAAATTACTATAAACTTTATGATTCCGGGTCATACAAAGTTTGTATGTGATGGGTTGGGATCCCGCGGCCTAGTGGTCTAGGCACCCAACCCTCCACGAGCGGGTTTCGGGTTCAAGTACTAGTAGAT